ACACACACACACACACACACACACACACACACACACAGACTCATATATACAGATACAAACAATATAAATTCCAATGTTCCAAATCGTAAAATCCTCAAATTTGTATCTTCAGAAATCATAAGCAATATTTTAAAAATTCAGTATTTATACTTCATTTTTCTATTTACTCAATCTATGTTATGGAAAAATATAAAACAATACAGTTTTTCAATAGCATCTCTCTTGAAATTATTGGTGCAAGTTAATTCTGACTTTGATGGAAAAAAGTTTTCAGATGAGATTAGATAGCTCCAGAGAAGCTCCTTGTCCTAGAGGGTTTGGCCCATGGTGGCTGCATTCATCCTCTCCATCACAGACTCACCACCATCTCAGAGTCCATGATCTCTTATATGGACTATTATGATAGCCTCATCTTCCTTGTTTTTCTGCTTCCATTTTCTCATTACTTAAATTTATAATATTTGCACTCCTGCCACAATAATCTCCCTTAAGTACAGTTCATTCATGAGATTTACCTACTCTGAAATGCTAGGAATCAAAATATGTATGCTACCATCAGATTCAAGTTTACAAAGTAAGATTGGTAAATTAAAAGTAGAAGATGATTCTATGCACATGAATTCCCACAAGAAGGAAACTTGAAGTATGTCTAAAATGTACTATAATCTTCCATGGAGAATACATTTTATTGTCATTAAAAAATCCTAATTATACACTTATTAGAAAGCTCTATTTCCTATTCTATATTCCATAGGCCTCCTAAATAGCCCCTCTTAAAAAGCTGTGGCAAGGTGTCCTTCCATTCTAGGTGAGAGAAATTCTCACCTTTAAAAAGAAAAAGAAAAGAATGTGTCAACCCTGACACCTATCCATTTATTATATGAAACACACAGAAGCCTTTTTCTGTCAAAAACCCAAGATAGACTTTAGCTATTTTCAGAAACTGTCTGGGTTTATACCCTGCTCCATCCCTTGCTGGCTAAGTGATTTGGGAAAAGTGGAAAGTATTTCAGGGCCCTGAGGAATCTTCAGACACTTTTATTTAAGAATATATGCAAAATTGTAGAGAATTTTTTTTAGTCCCATATGTTTACTGACTAGGGTGAGCATACAACACTATTAATGTTTTATAATTCTTCCTTCTGAAACCTTATTGGTTTCATTTGTCTTTACTATTGTCTTAAGCTACAAAAATTATTGGAAATAATTAAAACTATACACAAAACATGAACATCATCCCTCCTTTTATTTCAAACAGTGTAGTGTATATATATTTTTCTAGGTTCCTTTCAATACATTTATATACAAGCACTAAACACAGCAAAAGAGGAAATCTAATTTCTAAATGCATCCTTGTATCAAACTTAAAACAACAGAAAGTTAAATAAATAGGAAGCAACATATTAGGGCTATATTAGCTTAGATCTTTATTATATGTGAAAGTGCAACATAATATTATGACTTCAGCTTTTATTGAGGGTCAAAATAAAAAATAGTCAGTTTTCATTTTCTGCTAAACAACTATTGAAGATCTTGTTCCT